GGCAAGGAGGCGAGGACGATGAGCAGAGAGAGCGAGAGAGAAGCGGTTGAGAACGCAGAGGACCCTTATCGAAAGCAAAGAGAAGAAGCTTGAAGTTGGCGATCCAAGAGATGAAGAACTGATGGAGCCACTAAGATGAACAGTATGGGGGGAGAGAGAGAGGGAAGAGTGAGAAAGAGGAAGTTCAATGGTAAGATGGCTAACAGTCTGAGAAAGCCCTTGGGAGCAAGCTTGGGTATGGCATGGCAGTAACAGAGATACTATCACTTGAAGTAGCCATGCCTTGTGTTTGTGGTTGAACAATAAATAACAGGTGTGCCAGAGACGTTGAGTCTCAATAGATAATGAAAGGGGTCCCGAGTTTTCTTACCACAGTTTGCTTGAATATAAAAAGATAATAGGGCTTTGGTAAAACAAGTGTGTAATTTTATTAAAGTATTGAAAATTATAGATTAAAAACTAAGAATTGAAAAGGACTAGTAAATGTAAATTATGTGAGTCTTGATTGAGGTGTTGACTAGCTTTCTCTATTTTTTTTTCTATTTATAGTGTCGAATAGCAGAAGTCTTTTCTTTGAGACTTAGCAAGTTCTACCAAAGAATCAAAAATTTCGTAAAACTTATGGCATGGTCTCTCCATTTTAATAAACAACCCGTTTTACCAAACTCCTTGGGCGTAGACTTCGACATTACTTAGGATCGCATCTTTGTGCTAACGGTCTAATATTTAAAACTGATAGAATTTTGACATGTTTATTTGTTGTAGACTTTATTGAGCTTTGAGGCCGGCCTCTTTAGTTATATTAGGCCTGATGTTTCAATTACTCAGCAAAACTAGCCTCGTGACCTATTTGAGCAACGTTTCATATTTTGGCCCAAACAATGTCCCCCACGTGCCAATAGCTAGTAACAAAAGCCACGTGGCACGTTTGAAAAAATTAAAATGTCGCTTTGCTTCTAAGCACCTTCTGCTGATATAAGCTTATTTCCAAATTCTGGCTACTTCTCTTGCTTTCTTTGTTGTTTGTTGAACTTCAAGTCTTCAGTTTGCTACATTTCTCTTACTTTAACCCTCAAATGGCCTCATCTGCTTCTGCTATTTCTTCCACCGTCGCACCTTCTACTTTTGCTGGTAGTCTCTGGAGACTATCCAAAACTCGGTAAACCAACTAGGTGGGCTCATAACGGTATGTATTTTATTGTTTGGAAAACCCTTTTTTTCTTTTAGACTGGTTTCCTACTCTAATAATCATTCACTTCTTTTGAAGAGGATTTGTCATTCCACGAATCAGTAGCTTTTAGTGAGTTTTTTGCTTCTCATGTTTAGCCTTTCTATTTTATTGAAAGGTGCTGCTATAACTCTGCTTCCTTTTTGTCCAGCACTTTGCCTTAGAGTTTTCAAGTCTCTAACAAAAGCGACGTCGAGTATCTGACGATTTCTCCTGACTTGTCCAAAGTCACTGCTCCCACGTAACCGAATCCATGGCCATTAACTCTCTTCGCAACCTGGTCTTGGCCCGAACGACCTTACCCTTTCCCGAGTCATCCTGCAGAAAGCTTAGGAATTGGCCCCAGTCTCCTCATGCTTGGGTCAACTGGGTGAGGTGTTTGAAATCAGATCATGCGCCTCAGTGGAAGGAGATGGGATTATACTACTTGATTCAACCATCTCTGGCCGATGTCGATGTCCCCGTGGACCTTCTAACGACCCTTCTCAACTTCTGGGCTTCGAGTTGCAATGCCTTGATCTTCGAGCTCAGTCCAATATCCCTCACACTATGGGACGTCTTTATGTTCTTGGGGCTGCCCATCATTGGGGAGGAGAACTTCTACGCAATCTCTGATAAGCACGACTCTTACACTACCCTCCTTGTTGACTTGGAGAGGGAGATGAGGGCTGCAGGCTCCTATACAAAGATTATGGAGCTATTCTTTGAGAAGCCAGCCTCTAAGCCCGTCACAATCACAGAAGACCTGGTCTTCATATGGATCTTGCTAAGCCAATGGATCCTGGCCTCGTGCAGTTGCATTTGAGGATCACCCAGTCCCTGCTCTATAGCAACTAAATAGCCCTAGGGACTATATTTCTATGTCATCTCTATAATGGCATGAGGGAGTCGCTAATCAAGAAGCCCTTCAGCAACTTCCATGGGCCCGTCTGGTTTCTGAAGTTGTGGACGACGGCCTACTTTTCCAACCTTCAACAGGAGCCATTCCTAGATAATTTCTATGCCAACTACCCCTTCACTTATCTCTTGGGTGGTCATCCGTTGATGGAGTCAAAGAACTTCTTCGAGTTCTTCTGTCACAAAGCTGGTCCTTAGGGAGGACTTTAAAAGCTTTCAACGCTTTCTTTTAAAGGTAATGAGTTTAATTATAGGTAATATTAAAAAAAGGTAATTAATATCCCCGTCAAGTGTTTTATATTAAGGATTAAAAGATTTTTTTAAAAAAGTTTCCTATAATAGGAACAAGAGGGAGTATATATATATATATAAGAGAAAATAACTCATAAATTTAATGTTATTTGATTTTAAGTTAAGAAATACTCTTCTAGTCTTATTTATAAATCAATTCTAGTATGTTTCATTTGAACTAAGAAAAACATAAAACTTTATTAACTTTCTTAAAATTTAATAATTTTTCACATCTATTCATTCATAAAGACAAAAAAAAACCATTTTTAATATGTTTTCCTAGCAATATTTAATAAAAGCAGAAAGGTAACAATAAACATAGAAAATAGAAAATAATGAAATGCCTTATAAATAGAACCAAAATTAATAATCTCTTTTTACTCTATAAATAAAATTATATACATTTAAATAAGTTGAGAGAAAATAAATATTCTTTGTTACTACTTTTAAATGAGATACTTTTTGTTACTATTTTTTTTTTTTGGTTGAGTACCTGGTATATATCTTAAACTTGTCTCACATTAAGTTGAGCAGACTTCAATAGGCCCAAATTAATCCAAATCGAGTTAAGTTAGGACCATTTTCGATGGAAGCTCTAACACTGAGGCCGTTGTATCTTCAAAATTTAAACTTGAGTTTTCTAGTTAAGCTGATCCCATTATTTTTGTTACAATTTTTTCACACTTGAGCATTCTATTTTTTCTCATGTGTGATCTGTTTATTTCATGTTCACACTAACATGCTCTCCCTATAGCTATTAATTCCCTTGCACCGGCCTCGACAACACATGACTTCAACTAACCAGTAATCACTATACTCAAAATTTTGGCCTCGACAACTTAAGCACCAATCCTGAAAATAGAGGTGGTGTGGCAACTGTGACGAAAACGACGAATTTTAGCCTTCCAGTTTTAACGCTTGATTTCATTGTTTGATTGTTATTATTCAATATACGTCTCAGAAAAGCTTTTGGAGGTGCTACTTGCGTCCACAACACACTCACATCACTTGATTCCCATAACCTTCACAAAAACAAGAACTAAATAAAAATTACAATAAATCATGATGCATGCGTAAACCATGCATGGTTGATTTATTCTTCTGGGATTTAAATTTTCTAAAGTTGATACCTTGAATTTGTGTAAAGTTTTTCTTTTTGGGTATTTTCTCGCATTTTATTATTTTTTATAGAAACATATAAAAACACAAACTTCACATAAATTCATGAATATCAATTTTAAAAATTTTAAATCTATAACCCATAAGGTTGTAGGTTCAAATCTCACTGTTAATGTAGAGATTTTGTTGATGGATAATATGTAAATACCATTGTTAGTATTCCTTAAACTTGGAAGCATACTCTGGCTTTGGTAAACTTGACACTCTTACTAATGTATATTCGTGTGCGTGTTTAAGGGAAAAGAAGAGTGTGAAAATAGTAATTGAATTATGATTTATTTTTCCTCAGTTTCGATCAATCTTAATCAGTATGGTTTTTTTTCCTCATAGTTTCAATAAATAAATAGTATATATAAACTGTCTAAACTGCATTTTGTTTTTTTGGTTATTTATAAATTTATAAATATTTTAATTTTTATCTTATAATAAAGTACAAAACAATGTGTAACTATATAGAGTAATCGATAATTTTCTTTTTTCTTTTTGTAAGTATAAAGAGTAAGTTACACTGACAACAGAAGAATATCTCCCACACGAGGTACTAAAAACAATGTGTAGATACATACATATACAATGACTGGAGTTTGAATCCTAATTATTTGTTTAAATGACAGTAATTTTCTTTTAAAAATTGATAAATTTTAGGGGGGAAAAGGTTTACGATTTAGAGAAGCACGCGCATATGCACACCATCCCATCAACACATTCAGTACACCTTACGACCATAACACATGGGGTATGTATTATATTGCACCAACTTGTTTAATCTATTAAAAAAATATCTAAAATTGATCAGAATTATGAATTTTTATGAATTTTTTGTCTCAATATTTTATCATTTTATTATTTTTTATAAAACATAAAATTTTCTCTCTCTTCTTTAAAAATAAAAAATTTATGAAATTTACATATTCTTAACTCTAAAAGAACCCATTCTCTCTCTCTCTCCCTAAAAAAATAAACTGAGTTGAATTGTAAAAATCATAACTTCAATAGAAATGTACTACTTTGGCGTTAGCTCACTGATCACTGATTGAATTTTTTTTATTGGAAGATTGAAAAATGAAATAATATATATACCATCAATTATCAAATGCTCATTCCGTTAAAAAATGTAAGGCATTTTTTAAAAAATTAAATGTTAAAAAATGTAAGGCATTTCTAGTGTTTTGAGGTGTAATCATTATCTTTTTTTAAAAAAGTATCCCTATTGATAATAACTTTATATTTATTGTACGATATTTAATAGGGATAAATATAAAAAGTTAGAGTTAGTTGAAAAGTAGATAATTACTTTATTAGAGAGTGAATTCGATTAAAAATACCTTATATTTTTAAACTTAGAGTTAATATATATATATATATATATATTGTACACAAGAAAAGAAATACCATAGTGGTGATGAAAGCAGGAAGAACTCAATTTTATTGACAAAAATTAAATCTACCAAATGATAACCAATGTTGTGATCCTCTCCTCATCGTTAAGATTACTATTCTCAGACAGGATTAGAAAGAAATAACCAATTAATGGAAAAAAAACATTGAGGAGCGTTAGAGCCAGAAGAACAATTAACGATGAAGGATTAAACAATATTATCGTCAAATTAAAGAAATCAATTAATTAATTGACTCCTAACTAAATTTAATTCCATTCCTTTCGGATATCAAAAGTGTAGTTGATCTCCAAGTGGCATTTGTTGTCATCGTCAACAAACTGAAAATCAAGAAACAACATTAATGCTTGTCAGAAATCTGTTTCAAATTTAGTTGCATGTCGGTTTTGAAAGCTCATAGAAAATTATAAAAAAAAGCACATCAAATTACCAATAAGATCCTTATATTTGGAGTGAGCAAGGCTTGCATCGGACTACACATATTCTAATGGGATATAATTAAGTTAACTTCTTGCTAACTGAATCAATCTTTATTAGTAAATGTCTTACAATAATTATAGTTATCAACCCTGATTATTACTTTGTTTGCAATTTGCACCGCCAGGAAAAATTAAACTCACTATTGCAATTTGCAGTAGTAGGTTTCATTTAATAAGCACGTAGAGTTTTCAATTTTTTTCCCAGTATTATTTAAGTATTATACATTTTTTGACTCTAAAATTCTTACAAATTTTATACTAAATATATTCCTTACAGTCTATATATAAGTCACATTTTACAAGAAATTAGTAGTCCTTTTTATAATTAACTTTGCATCAAAAAGGTATATCTTTAAATTTTTTTTTTCAATTTTACCTTTTTGTCATTGTCTTTGAGTAAAGTAAAATAATGTTATATATGAGAAAGAAATTGTTTTTAAAGATCAGATGATGCATTTAATAAAGATAAACTAAAATTTATATATTTTTCAAACAATATCGATAGTTTAATTGCATCTGATTGATTCTGATAAAGTAATTAGAATAAGTAATGTATAGATAAAATCAAATCCAGTATTTGCTTATCAATCTCAGCCCTCTCATAATTAAATTCTGGCTCCATCCTTGAACTACGCCAAGTACTATAGAGAGAATTCCTTCCAAATTATTCATTAGTATACTGGTTAATTAACGCAAATTAATTAGGCATTAACTTGTACTCGGATCTTTTGATTTTCTTAAGCAAGCTAAGTCTCAGAATGAAAATGAACAATTGATCATATATACCTGGACGTGAAATATTAATTGATTAAAAAAAATGAATTACCTTACTTTTAGCTGAATAGGTGCCTCTGGCAAACAAGCCAGACGGTGTCGTCTCTTCAGCCATTTCGTGGGTGTAAGCTTCTTCCTGTGGGCTGAACGTTCCAATCATCTCTTTAGTGCTGTCCACTGTAAGCACATGTATATATCTCTCAATTATCTCATTTCACTTACTTAATTTCTCCCCAAATCATTGATCTGATCTTCAAACAACGTGTGTGTGTGTGGGGTGGATTAAATGACACTTCAGGTCCCAAATGATTAATTTATGATAATTAAGGCTTCAAGTAATTGCTAAAAAATTAGTTGCAGATATTGATTTAAATATACTTGATCTAGTCCTATTTATAAATTATTTTCAATATGTTTCACCGAAATTAAAAAATATCTTAAAATTTATTAACACTGTCTAAAATTTAACAAATTTTCAACTTTACTTCCATTAAATATACATATTTTAAATATAAATTAAATTAATACTCCAATATTTAGTAACTTTTCCAGCATTTAATAATGGTAAAGATAGACACATAAGGTTCCCTATAAATAGGACTAAAATAAATATTCTTTCTCTTTTTTCCCCCTATAAAATAGGACCAGAGGAATAAATAGGAGTTTCAACCAGATAATTACGAGAGTTTCAATCACAAATCAAGCATTTAAATCTTATCTGTCATTTTCTAATGATTTGCAGTTGAGACTCCCATATCTGCAACTATCTAAATTGATATTTCCATATACTCTTCCAAGCAAAATTTTGCAGGAAATAACACATACACACATATATAGAGTATACATTAGCATATATAAGGAATGATCTCGAGTTGAACAAAACTGAGACAAAAACTTAATTAGTATATATCAGCATCACTTAATTATGTGATTGATGAAATGTAGAGTTCTTTTGGGATCATAAAGAGTAAAGAAGCATATCACCAAGGGTACAGATAATCTAAACCCTAATTTTAAGAAGGAAAAAAATGGATAGAGAATTAAGCATAAAATTAATCAAGCACATTAATTTACATGAGTACGTACCCTTGATGCCGGTTTTCCAAACAGTGTTGGTGTATTTGAGACCTGAAACAATGTTGTGGCAGACTTGAAATGTGAACATGAGCCTGTAATGGCTTCCTTCTTTCAAAGTAAACCAGAGGCCCTCAGGTTTTCCAGATTCTGGTATTGGAAGAACTATGTCGTCTCTCCCACTTGTCTTTATTGCAAGGCTTGTGATCTTCACCTCTGGCTCTAGGGTTTCTACATTTTTTTTTTTAAAGTTTCAACTTAATTAACACACTTAGGATTTGTTTGGTGTATGGTGATGGAATATAAGAAAAAAGTTAACGATTGCAAAAAAAAAAAAAAAAAATTAAAAGAAAGAAGCGATACCTCCAACAGCGTCGATGTCGACGCTTCCAAGAAGTTGTTCCTTCCACTTCCTTAAGCTCTCATCGTCCTAAGACACATCACACCACAGAACACATAATATATCATGCGCTTTATCACACACACACACACACACACACACACACACACATATATATATATATATAGAGAGAGAGAGAGAGAGAGAGAGGTTTGTGTATATCGACCATGGTAAGAGATGATGAGAGAGTATACATTAGTATTTTTTAGAACTTCAAATTAAAATATTTGTCCAATATATATACTCGCATGGAGAATATATTAATATCACAAAAAAGTAAGAAGATAAAAAAAAAAGGAGTTCTAAACAGACACTCAAAACAATAAAATAAAATGTTGAATAAGGATAGCAAAAATCCAATAATTAAAATTCAATATCATCTTTATTTCTTTTCATTTCTCTATCATTCTCGCTAAATTTGAGATGTTTGAGTATTCCAAAATGTAACTGCATTGCTAAATGCACCAATGGAAAACACACCAACTATAATATGAGAGTGCATCACACACACACACACACACACACACAATAATGACATCGGTTCTTCCGCAAGTAATTAACTCTACATGAAAGATATAGTATACAATTATCAATTATTAATATCAAATATAAAATCTGTTAATAATGCACGAGTTTGGAACATTTGATATGCCTCTCTTTAATGTCTTTTGTAATGCCTTCCTTTCTCAATTTCATTTTTCTATTTTCTTTTAATCATTAACTTCTACACAAAATAAAAACATTCCAATATATTAAAATCCCTACATGGTATAGTTTTAATATATTTTATGATATTTTGGATTAAAATACAAAAATTGCACAATTTTATGAATTTTTTTTTTGAAAATTCATAAAAAATACAAAACTCTACTGTTTCAAGATTTCAAAATATCATAATGTGTCTTATTCTATATAGAAGCTGATGATTCAAAAGGAAAAAAAAAAAAAGAAATTAAGAAGGTGGGGTATATCACAAAATGCATTAAAGGGAGGCACAAATCTACTAGTCTAAGAACATGGAAAAAGGAAATGAAGAAAAGAGAAGAAGCAACCTTGTCCTTCTCAAGCTGTTCCCTCAAGGAGCATTGTGGACCCAATTCAATTTTACTCCTCTCCTCATCGTCGTCGTCATCCGTCGCAGCAACAGAACTCTGGCGACTGTGGGAGTAAAACCTCCCTCCACGTTCGTCACCACTCTCCTCGGTATCGGTGGTGGCAGTGTGTTTTGTTTCTGAAACCTCACCCTTCTTATTCTCGTCCGGTTCCATGTTGTAATTATATGTCTAGCTCTCAAATTGAACTTGAAACCACTCAAAAGGCCAAATCAAGACGCCATTAATTCATAGACCCATTGAATCAAATAGCTACAGAACTAAAGGAACAAACAATAATAATTAAAATCCTAAAAGGATCTTGTACCATATCATTTGAAAGAATGGTTGTATTAAGTTTTAGAGTGAGAGAGTGTGTTAGAGAAGTGAAATGGAATGAAATTAGATCAGAGAGACCATTTTCTGGGAATGAGAAGACGGTAAGAAGGATTGAAGGAGTGATTTTCTGGGAAAGTTAAAAGAAAGAAAGAAAAGGTCATGTGGTGACCCTTAGTTTTGGAATTTTTCAAACAATTTTTTAACCTCCCTATTCTTGCACTGCCTTCCACGAATGCCAATATTCTAGGAAATTAATCCCATGTTTGATCATTCATTATCTTTATATTTAACCGAATTAAACTAAATCAAACACGTGTTGATGTTAAATTATTTTTTTCCCAAAAGTATGGAAATGCCCTTCTTTTATTTTATTTTTCAAAGCAGTTTTATTTTTGTCTCTAATTGATTTACTATATTATCAAGCTTCAGATTTCGGTTTAATGAAGTTTGACTGGAAATTATAAATTAATTGTGAATTAATTCTTGATGGAATTCCTTAGTAGAAATCAATATATTAATGAATAATTAGATTGCATTGATGAGTAATAATTTCATGAGAGTTGAACAGAAATTAGGAATTAATGGTAAATTATTCCAAATTGAATTCAAAATAGGAAGTTTACCTTTGCATTTATTGTGGAAGATTTCATCACATTAATTCCCTTCATTATCATGAGGTGAATATGACAATTGAAATTTCTCATTTCGTGAGGATATCCCATGCTATAAGTAAGTAGCAGTGGGTGGCTGAAGTGAAAACTTACCCAGAATGAATATCCCTCTTCTTAATACTCGTTCTTTCTCATTCTCTTTTTCTCTTTGGTTAATCTATTGTGCATCAATGAAAGAAAGGATTCCGATAGTCCTATCCAGCGTGTCTAGTTAGGTAAACTCTACGAGGCCCAGATCTTGTAAGATTCTGAACCAACTCTTTTTCCAAATTATTATTTGTTTTAATATCCTTCAGTTTGGAACCCATTCTTGTTAATGTATGCTGACAGCCAAAGTCATTATTCGTGAGAGGTTATACTTGTTATTGCGTTCCAGCATGTTATTCTTGAAGGGTTATATGATAATTTTGCAAGTAAACTTATTGTTAGATAAAGTTATGATTTGTCTACTGAACACAGAGACTAAGAGGCATAAGGGAAAATGACATTAAGTTGAAGACGACAACTTCATAATCATCTCTCGTTTTCTTCACTTTTTTCATTTTCTTCTTAATGATGATTTGACATTGTGAATGTTCAGCACATAGGTTTCCATCAAAAGCCCGAAGTCTTAGTTTGAAAAATTATCATCATCCGCTCACGCCGATATTTGAGAGAAATTACGTAATAGTCAAAAACAAAACAAAACAGGAAATTACGTAATAGTCAAAGCAGCAACTCTATTTGATTTTTATTTTTTAATTTAACACTTAACATTAAAATTAATGTAAATAGTAACAACATTTTAATTAAACGGGTCACCATTCTTGAGCCACAAGCTAGCGCAGCCCAGTTCGGGTCAAAGCTGTCACTATTTGAATGTATAATGCATGTTCGTATAATTCAAATGAAAAGAAATCTGCTTTAGTTTATGAGTTTTAAATATCATATATCTCTGAAATGCATACAAAATGAAAAGAATGAAACCAAATAACCTATTTATATTTCATGCATAATTTTTGGATTTTAAATTTCTGAATATTGAGATAACTATGATTTTTGGTTTATAATTAGTTTTGACATTATATAGGCGTTTGGATATTTTTTTTAAAAAAATAATGGTTTGGGTTCACATATTTATTTAATATTTATAATTAATTTTAACATGTAATAAGGGTGTTTTGATATATTTTTTCAAAGCAATAGTTTTACCTGGTTTTCAATTATACTAAAAATAAAAATCAATTTTATAAATCAATTTACAATAAAATAGAATTAATTATGTTCAAAATCAATCTGGAGTAGTAAGCTTGCTTCAATAATTAAGATCGTCATAAATAAATAAAAAATCTAAGACTTTTCAAGGGAGAAAAAACTTCATATTTTTATCAATCTCACACAGATTTATATGTTTATATATATATATATATATATGGAATTCTGATTACTTCATGTTTTACGCGTCCAATCTATTTACTATCTACGATAAAAATTGAAAGGATCTATCAAATACAATTAGCCTCAACAATTGATAAATCATAAGCCAAAATAAGAATGAAATATGCATTACAAGTTTTAGTTGGATACTTGCCGTGTTTTGATTTTATGCATTGACTGCTTAACAGACGAAGTTTTGAAAACCAAGGAAATGCAGGACATTAATTAGCTAGTTTTGTGCTTACAACAAAGTGGAGCTGTTTCTGCTATTATAGTAGTAATTAATTAAAAATTATTATAATTAATGACAAACGTGCATGCAAAAGTAAAATCAAATGGGGCTTGGAAAAGTATAAAGTTTATATGAGCTTCCTATCAATGATCAGGAGATTTGAATTCGATGAATGATCTAATTCTACTCACTTAATAGTATCTCAATTATAGCAATTGAATTTTGTTCATTAACCTTTGAAAATTATCAAGATACATTTACCTCCAAAAATTTAAACAATCCTCATGAGCAAAGCACTTCTCACACATGTTATTCCCTATGTATAAAATCCCTAAGCTCGCATTGTTGATTGCATTGAGCTCTACAAGCACGCAATCCATAGACTGAATGGCTTTGAAAGTGTCAAAACCCTTGCCAAAGAGCCGCGTGGGCTGATTGCATTGAGCTCTACGAGCACACAATCCACAGACTCAACAAAACCTAAAATCCCCACACAAAATGTTCCCAAGCTGATCATTCTCTGACATGGCTAAAGTAAAACAGAGGATAGAGAGAGACTTGATGAATATTCTGATATTATCACATTGCATGGAGTACAGAGTATATAACAATGCTACGTGCTCAATGATTACAAAACTAAGAATGATTACTTAACTTAACTATGGTTAGTTACAACAGTTAGTTACAACATATTACTTAACTACTCTATCATGCCCCCTCAATTAAAGGTACTCTTCTACTCTTAAGTTTGTCTTGAACTCTGAGAACATTGCACCAGAGATTGGTTTGGTTAATCCATCAACAATTTGACTAGATGCTGGAATATGACGAACGTGAATCTCTTTACGTATTGCTCTTTCTCTAACAAAGTGCAAGTCAATCTCTAAATGTTTGGTTCTAGCATGAAGAACGGGATTAGCAGTCAATAACATTGCACCTTGGTTATCACACAATATCTGAGGAGCATGTACTAGACGTACCTGAAGTTCTCTCAACAGTGATTTAAGCCAAAGAACTTCTGCAACAGAAGATGCCATGCTCCTATACTCGGCTTTAGTACTTGATTGAGCCACTGTGGTTTGCTTCTTGAAAGACCAAGAAACTAAATTTGCACTAAAATAAATGCAATAACCCAAGTGCTTTTTCTGTTGTTGCAGTCAGCTGCCCAATCAATGTCGCAATAAGAAACAATTGAACTAAGCCTGGATGGTTGAAAATATAAACCATGAGACATTGTTCCAGCAAGATACCGTAGTATACGTTTGACTGCCTTCCAGTACACTTGAAGAGGAGTGGCCATAAATTGACACACCTTATTAACAGAAAAACTAATTTCTAGGTGAGTAATGGTAGCGTACTGAAGTGCACCCACAATAGATCTATATAAAGCTGGGTTACCAAAAAGAAAAGATCCTTCCTTGAATAACTTTACACCAGATACCATAGGTGTAGGCACAGATTTGGCATTAGATATCCCTGCACGACTGAGAATATCTCTAATATACTTAGCTTGTGACAAAACAACAGAGCCATTTTTAACCGAGTAACTTCAATGCCCAGAAAGTAATTAAGTTTACCAAGATCTTTAAGTAAGAACTCATGATTGAGTGCAGTGACTAACGTAGAAATCTGAGTAGAGGAGCTGCCTGTGATGATAATATCATCAACATATGCTAAGACATACATAATATGAGAACCATCAACTCAAATAAAGAGAGATTGATCACACTTGCTGCTAGAAAAACTAAATTTAGAGAGTGTACCAGCTAATCTCTCAAACCATACACGTGGTGCCTGTTTCAAACTATATAATGCTTTATCAAGTTTACACACCAAACCCTTATCACTGTGTTCATAACCTGGAGGCTGCATCATATAAACTTCTTCATGTAATGCACCATTTAAGAATGTATTATTAACATCACTTTATCGTAGGGACCACCTTAAGAAATAGGAATAGTTAAAACAACTCTTATAGTAACAGGCTTGACCACAGGGCTAAAAGTCTCATTGAAATCAAATCCTTCTTTTTGATGAAATCCCTTTGCCACTAACCTCACTTTATACTTTACAGTGCTACCATCTGGATTAGTTTTCCTCTTCCAAATCCACTTGTACCCTATAGCACGCCGATTAGGTGGAAGGGAGACAAGATGCCACATTTTGTTTCTCATAAGAGCCTCATACTCTTCATCCATGGCCTTCTTCCAAACAGATGATGCTAAAGCTGCAGAGACTGTTGTGGGTTCAACATCAACAGAATAGACTTTAGGTTTGAAAATCCCATTCATAGATCGGGTGACCATTCGAGTAGACTCAGGTACATTAGAGTGATCAATAGATACATTAGTAGACTCAGGTATATTCCCATTCACACCAAAAAAAGGGGAAGAAGAGACATTAATTGAAGGAGTCGTGGCTGCAGCCAAAGAGGAAGATCCACTAGAAGTAGAAGAAGACAAAGACATAGAACCAGAAGACAATCTGCATAACTCAGGAGAAGTAGTTAAAGGAATGGAGTAGCATTGCTCTGGGTAGAAGGGGAAACGAGGAGAGACAAGGAGAGGATAGACTCGAAGAAGAAGAAGAAGAAGATGGAGTAGTGGAAGTGAGGGCATGATAAGGAAACTTATGTTCATTAAAGAGCACATCTCTTGATCATGACCACTTGCTTCAAGTTTTACTGAGACCAAATGAGAAAACGTTACAACATCCTTGCGTGAAGCATGCAGAGAAGCAGAGGCGGAAGTCATGGTTACAGATCAGAGATGCTCTAATACTATAAAGTAAAATAGAGGATGGAGAGAGACTTGATGAATATTCTGATATTATCACATTGTATGGAGTAC